GGAGCAGCGGGGCCCGCGGCGGCCGGAGCGAGGGTCCGGGGGTCCCCTCCGCCCGCGCCGCCCCCGCCCGCGCCCGCGCCGCGGAGCCCCGGAAGCGGCGGGATTTCCTGTGCCCGCCCCGCGCCGGCCGCTGTCGCTGTCGCTGTCGCTGGCTGTGCGGGCCGCGGGCTCCGCCGCACCGGGCGGGAGGCAGCGCCGAGGGGCCCAGCCGGGGTGAGTGGGGCCGGGGTGCGGGCGGGCCACGGGGAGGGCGCCGGCCTGGCCGTGGGGACGGTGGCCGCCGCTGTCACTCGCGCGGGCGTCCACGCTGCACCCTCTCTGTCACTTGCTGGGCCCCCCCGCTGGCAGGGACCTGCTTTCTGGCCCCGCTCTGCCCGCTCGGGTCCTGCCACGCTCCGAGTCGAGTCTTCTGAAATCCAACCCTCCCCGGAAAGAAGAAACCTCACTCGGCTTCGAGCTCGGGAGGGGGGGCGAGGTGCCACACCCGCAGTGGCGGGGGCCACTGGGGCGATTCTCGTCCCCGTGCCCTTGGGCCACTCTTCGGTTCCACGGCCCTGTCTCTGTCCTCTAGAACTCGCTGGGAAAAAAGAAAAAGAAAAAGAAAAAAAAAAAAAAAAAAAACCTGCCACTAACTTCTTTCTGCAGGTGCCCTGCCTCCCAGACACATAAGCAAACAACAGAATTGAAAGCCCAGGAACCCAGGCGCCCTTACGGAAGGGGTCATCCGAACCAGGGAGAGAGAGAAAACAGGTTAGGGCTGAAAGCCAGGTGCCCCTGGCGCGAACACCCTAGGAAATGCAGACAGGTGACAATTATCCACACCGCCCTTTGCCTGGGTTTCGCTAGAGTCGCCACAGGTTTTCCGTCGTCGCCCACCTGGCCCAGTGGAGGACTCTTCTGTCGAAGGTGGTGATGGGGAAAAGGTTAGAGACAGGTGTCCTGGTACTAAGCCCGAGAGGACACCTTCTGGAGGGCTTGCCCGGGCAGCCAGGGAACACGGAAGACTTAAGGTGAAGGAGGTTGGTGCCCCCTGCGTGCGTTTAAAGGTGGTAACACAGGGCCTGAAGTTCAGAAGAGAGCCAGAATGGAAGTTTCCTCTTATTACTGTCTTACTCTCTTGTCCTTTTTCAAGAGAGGTCTCTGAAAGGGAACCCAACCCACCTAAACTGGGACTCGGTCCAGGATGTGCCCAGGAGGCCCAAACCAGCTTTGGGCTTCAAAGATGCAAGAAGGATTTGTTCTTTCTGTACATTGTGTTTAGAAATCTTTTGTCAAAGACAAATAGACAAGAAAATAAATAGCCCGAGGTTTGCCATACCCTTTCCTAGCCTCCTGCGGTCTTATAGATGGCAGTGAATGATCACAGGAGCCAAAACAGCCTTGGACATTCTCATTTGTTCCAGGGAGGTTTTTAGTGGCTCTGTCTACTTGAGTTTTGAATAAGGATCACAAAAATAGATTGCCAAGCAGGAGGTTGTCCTGCAGTCATTCTCAAATGGGGTCTGTGTTGCTCTAAAAATGTCCATAAAAGAGTACAAACTTGGTCACAGGGTCTGTGGGGTTGTTATGGATTCTTAAAAACAAAACAAAACGAAACAAAAGCCTAAGCCGAATCTCTTTCTTGTGATTAAAACTCATTTATTCTGCTTGATACATAGACATGTTTACAGGTGGCGAGGCTGGCCAGCCTTCTTGACACCTGGACACCATGTCTGTTGGTTTTAGTTTCTTATCCCTTTCTTGACTTGAATCTCTTCCCGTGAACTCACACTGGCCTCACCATACCCTTCTTGAGGTTGGACATTTTCTTTATAATGCACCGTGACTGGAGCCTGCCAAACAGCTGTGTTTTGGCACTTCAGAACTCAGGGCTGCTGACTCCCCCACACCTCGTGTTAACAACGTTTCCCTCTTGTCCAAGCTCTGCTCTTTCCCACTGTTTCCATTTAACCTTCAGCGCCTCACTTGAGCTGCAGTTTCACTTCCCTGTCAGGGCTGCGTCTGGGTAGGCCTACCTCAGCTTTATAGCCCTCCCGGTTCCTGGCCTTTCTGCTGTGTTTCTGCCAGTTCTTCTTTTCTACCTAAGAGTGACAGATCGTATGTCCCTTCCCGAGGCTTTTCCTAAGGGGGACGCTACCTGAAGGGAGACCAGGTGCCCATGACCGGTCACACAGTTCACGGGAATAGAATTTGTGGCGTAGAATCCTACGTATGATCTCATCCATCTTTGTTGAGTGTGTTCTTTCCTGCATTTTCACAAATTCGCTCCACCTTAAGTGACAGAAATGCAACAGATAACCCCTGGGTTTTCAGGATCATTCATAGTTCATTTTAAGGTTCTCGCAGTCCTTGGGGGCATTCCGTTTATAGCAGGAGGTTTCCATAATAACCCTGACTTGAGTGTGTGGCCCCTGCCAGTTCCTCAGTTCCTCCAGAAAACTTGCTTTGCAAGTTCATCTTCCGTCTGGCTCCTCTTCCTGTGTGACCTGAGCCTTGGGAACAGTTCTCTGAAGTCGCCTTCTGTTTATGGGTATAGCTGATCCTGACTTGTTACAGGCCACAGCTCGTGCTTGCTGCAGAAATGCTTTCTGAACAGACAGTAGCCCTGGGAGCAGGATGGGAGTCGATGAATGCACAGCCCGATGGAGCACAGCCCCAGCCAGAAAGAGGAAACCAGGAAGAGGGCCCCTGGAGAGCAGCACCAGGGCCACTGGACCCCCTTTGCTGTGACCTTCAGGAGGAGCCACTGTCCCTTCAGGAGAAGGGTGAGAGCACACAGCACTCGGGGGGAAGCTCTGGAAGTCTCCTGGTCTCTGATCAAAAAGTGGCGATAAGAATTCCCAACCTGGCTGGGTGTTTGCCCACACTTGCAATCCCATTCCTCAGAGGCTAAGGAGAGAACTGCCATGAGTTCCAGGCCAGCCTGGAGAATAGCATGGCCCTGTCTCAAACAATAGTAACTTCGAGTTGCCACCAATTAAAGAACATACCGAATACCATGTTTTTGTTTGTTTGTTTTTCCTTTTCTGGGACCTGCTGTCCAGCACGCAGTGAGGTCCTTCGTTTTCCTAACTGTGTAGATGGGCTTTTTCTGATTCTCACATGATCATTCCTCTTACATGCAAGTGCATAATTACTGGTATTGGATGTGGGAGACAGGGGAAGTGCTGGGAGGCTCCTTGCTGTTGGAGGACACAGTCAGTCAATAATACGTACTTTCCTGGATGAGAATCAAGCACCGCCATTCAAACTACAGCTATTCTAGCTGAATGCCACCAAACCCTTGCAGGCCTTTTGAGTAAGGGCCTCTACATCTATATTTGAGTTTTACCAGTGAGCACAGACTGAGAAGATAAATGGGTCCCAGTGCATACTGTGAAAGATGGGTAGTTGGCCTCTAATGGTTCCTCTCTCCCCTCCTCAGCTCAGGCTGCTCCCTGGGTTCCTGCAGTTCCCCAGGAGGGGAACACCGGAGACTGGGAAATGGCAGCTGCTCTTCTGGCAGCAGGATCCCAGGTGAGCTGTGCTCCCCATGTCCTCCCCGGGCTTGGGGTGGTAGCTTTTCTACGGCATTGGCGTCATCCCGTTGGCTTGGTAGTCCCTTGAACACTAAGGGGATTCTCATGACCAAATAGATTCTGTTTCTAAGAGATGTATAACGGATCTGGATGGGTGACTCTGTTATCCGTGGGATGGGGGTGGAGAGTTCAGAATAATTGTTTGGTTGACTCTTCTAGGAAGAAAATCTGAAGTCAGGCATGATGGGGTCTGCCTGTAATCCAGTTACTAGGGAGGTAAAGGTAGGAGTATTGCTTGAGCCCAAGAATTTTGGGCCAGTGTGTGGCACAGTGAGACCAATATGTACGTACATACATAATACACTCACATACATATATACTACGCATACACATGTGTGTGTGTGTGTGAAATCCTGGAAAAGGTAGGAAAAGAGGAGCCAGTGAAAGCTTGGAGGAGCATAGACAGGCTGGTGTAGCTTGTGGAACTTTCAGAGAAGAGATACGAGAGGAGCCGGAAAGAGAATGTAAGTCCGGAGCCCACCTGTGGAAAGATAGCAGGGTTGGCCGTAGGGCCTTTTCCTGATCGCTTACTGGGTGCATTCCTTTCCGTGCCCTTTACATATAGTGCATAACGTAAGACCAACTCAGCCATCCCGTCTTTTCTCAAGAACTCCGGGGCAGCGAGAGATGGAGGCATTTGGGTATTACCGTTCGTAAGTGGCAGAATTGACAGGCGTTTAGCTCCAGGTTTGGGGACTAATCACTGAAGAGCTATCAGCAGCGTATCGGGGAGACAATCGTGTTTTGTTCATATCATGTTGTGTTGACAGACAAGGGAAGGTCAAGTGGAGGAGGCTGTGGTACAGTCTACAGGAAAGAATGAGGCAGGTAAGAGGAGCGCGGGAGACACCCAGTTAGTTCACAGAGGGAGCTGTCGTGCCTCTGACTTCTCAGGTCTCGGTCGGTCGGGAGCCTCCTCTAGTGACAGTACCCTCGCTCGCTCACTCGCTCGCTCCTTGGCCTTGAGTCTTTTCTCTTTTCTCTTCTCCAAAGCTATGGGCTCTGCCTAGCGTGTGACCTGTTGGCAGTTCTTTTCCTGGGTCCTCTCTCATCCTCTTTCCTTGACTGCCTCAGCCCTTCGTAGTGACACCGTGTTTTTCTTCCGAGTGGCTGCCCACAGACAACCCTCTGTCTCGTTTCAGGGCCTGGTAACCATCAAGGACGTGTCACTGTGCTTCTCCCAGGAGGAGTGGCGGAGCCTGGACCCCTCTCAGACAGACTTTTATGGAGAATACGTCATGCAGGAAAACTGTGGGATCGTTGTGTCCCTGAGTAAGCAGCATCTTCCTCAGCTCCTGAGAGGCTTTGCCCCGGGAGGACAGGGCCGCCTGCCTCTGGGTGTTGGACATTGCCTGCCTAGGGGCCTTTCCTTGGCAGGGAATCTGCCTAGGTTTCCACCAGGGAAAGGCTGTTGATGCTAAGCCAATAGAGTTGAAGCGAGGGGTCTCTGTGAATAATGCTAAATTGTGGAGTGAAAACATAAGGGTTGGGAACTTGAGGCTTCTCTCATAGCAGAGAAAGGGACACCTGGGTTAGCACCCTGGGGAGGGGAAGGGTGCTGCAGGTCTGACTCTATAGCAGGTCTAAGGCAAAGTCGAGGCCAGAAAGGACATGGCCTGGGAGGATTTGAACGGAAGTGGGCTGGTTCACTGGGAAAGAGCATGTGGCTTTCTAGGAAAATGAAGAGGACCGTAAAAGGCTGGAGGCTTGGGTTCGGCTTTTTTTGTTCTGGCATCCCAAGGAAGAGTCTAGGAAGCGGCTTCTGTCCATTTTGCAGAGTTGCTGTTGAACTGACCCAGTTTGTGTCTGTTTCTTTTTCTCCTGGGCAGGGTTTCCAATTCCCAAACTGGATATGCTTTCTCAACTAGAGGGGGGAGAAGAACAGTGGGTCCCTGACCCCCAGGACTTAGAAGGGAGGGACATCCTGAAGGTCACATATACAGGTGAGGACCTAGAAAACTCTCTTTGGAGTGTCATCTTTACGTGTCTCTAACTAAAAAGTTTGAAAGCAAGGCTGAGGTGCAGAGGTGCGGGAGGCAGGCTCTGAAGTTAGGCCATGCAGGTTTGAACTGTTCTAAGTTATTACAGTTAAATGTGGCAGCACCTGGGAGGGCACGAAATAAGAGCTGACAGTGTTGGTCAGTGTCCCAGTCACTGTAGATATGTCTTCTAAACATAGCCAGTGATGGTGGCATCCAGCCACTTCCATGTGGAAGCGTGAAGATGATAAAGAAATGGTGAGGGACAGCGGCAAATAAATAGTGTAAATAAACAATGTTGGTAAATAAGTTGTGGCGATAGCATCTCTTATTTAGTGAGTGCTTACCGAGAGTTGATGTGGTTATCTTAAGAAGGATTCTAGTTTTACACACACACACACACACACACACACACACACACACACACACACACACACACACCGGGGAAGTGTTGGGGCAGACAGTTCCTGTTTTACGGAAGAAATGAAGACTTAGAAAGGTAAAGTGTCTCAAATGAAGACTGGGCTCATTTGCCTGTTAAATCCAGGCAAATCTCTGCAGCTCTTGCACTGTCCTGTGCTTTTACACATGTCCTCCACAGGCCCTCTGACATCAGACAACTTCCTCTGGGACTTGGGGGCTGGGATGCCATCTTGGGATCTCTAAGGGTGGCATGTCTTCCCTCCCTGCAGGAGATGGAAGCGAACATGAGGGAGATACTCCTGGCCTTGAGGCAGAGCCTCCCAGAATTGTATCCAGTGTGTCTGAAGACACCGTTGTCTGGAACGCAGGGCAGGGTCAGCCGTGGGAGTGCACGCCCAGGAGCTGCAGAGGACCGCTCCTAAGCCCACCTCGTCTTCAGGAAGACAGCGTCTCACACCTTCTGTGTAGCCCGGAGATGGATTCTCTCTTAAAGCCCCACACGTGCCCTCAGTGTGGGAAGCAGTTTGTGTGGGGCTCCCACCTGGCCAGGCATCAGCAAACGCACACTGGCGAGAGGCCCTACAGCTGCCTCAAGTGTGAGAAAAGCTTTGGGCGGAGACATCACCTCATCAGGCACCAGAAAACCCACCTGCATGACAAGCCAAGCAGGTGCTCCGAGTGTGGCAAGAATTTTCGGTGCAGCGCCCACCTGGCCAGCCACCAGAGAGTGCATGCGGAGGGCAGGTCACCCTGCAAGGGCCAAGAGGCCGGAGAGAGCCTCGGGGCTCAGAATCAGCAGCAAGCCCCGCCCGTGCCAAGGCGCCACGTGTGCACCGAGTGTGGGAAGAGCTTTGGCCGGAGGCACCACCTGGTGAGACACTGGCTCACCCACACCGGGGAGAAACCCTTCCATTGCCCTCGATGTGAGAAGAGCTTCGGCCGCAAGCACCACCTGGACAGGCACCTGCTGACCCACCAGGGACAGAGCGCCGGGAGTGGCTGGGACAGAGGGGCGTCTGTCTTCTGAAATCCGCCTTTGCGGAGCTATAGTCAAATCTGTCAGCTGGTGCTACCAGCAGCCACTGCCATAGCTGCCCCTCCCCTGTGCCCTGATGGCCAGGACATTTGTCACCAGTTCTGCGAGACAACATAAGAAAAAAGAGTTCTTGGGGCAAAATTTTTGGCAGCAGTGCAAAGTGTGGCTATTCGGCTGAACCCGCTCTGAAGGGTACAGTGGAGCCAGCAGTGACGGTTGAGGTCCGTTCTCTTTGGTTGGGGTCTGTGCTGTACCGGTTCCTAAATATTTATGAATCACCCTGTGTGCTGATCATATTCTCTACAGAGAAAGTGAAAGGGGCCATGTTAGTGTATCGAGGGCTCTGAGAACCTCTGCAGCCCATTAGTGTCAATTGAAAGCAAGGGGGCTAGACAGTCTTGTGCGGGTCTGGCTCCTTTGCCCCGTGATTACAGGCCTCTCACCCCTACCTCTGAAAAAAATGTAGTGATCTTTCACTCCTATTCCCCTCATCCTGCATACACACACGCACTCAAACACACATGTATACCACATACAAACACACACACACACACACACACACACACACACACACACACGGACACAGCTGAGATCAGGTTACAAAGCTAGAGGATAGACTTTACACTCCCAAGTAATGCAGGCCCACACGGAAGGAAAAACTATCCCCTTGAACAGAGCAGAGCCGTCTCCTGTCTGTGGTTTTGTGTCTGTGTATATGTGCGCAGGCTCTTTGATGAGATCCTGCTCAGTGCAAACTGTACAGGCTAGGTTTTCTAGGAATTGTGCTCTAGGGATAAGGGTAGTTGGGATGGTACGGGTTTTTGGTTTTGTTTAAAAGCATTCTGAGCGGTAAAGGGAGGCAAGGTGGAAAGGTGTGCCTAGGGTTGTGTACAAAGTCCTTGGTGTTCCCAGGATGTAGACAGTTGTGGGTTTGTGTATCTGGCTCTGGGTCTCTGGGATGACAATTGTTTTTCCCTACAGAGACAGCGTTGTTCGTTGGCCTTGAATGAGGTGACGGTGGTTCGTGCTGCGTGAGGTTCTGTCTTGTCTTGTTTTAAGTGCTGGAATCACAGCGTGGCGAGTCACGCTCATCATTCTTGTTTGACTTTCAAAGCTTCTTCAGAGGGAAGAACCGATGTTGCGCACCTCATCCTGCTAGGAGAAAGAACTTTAGGGGAGAAGGCTGTAGCTTAGCTTGCCGGCTGTGAGGGTAGTGAGCTTTCTGGTGTTCCTCCTGGCTCTGGGAAGGGCCTCACCCAGAAGACTCCAGGCTCTAAGGTTAGCTGCCTGCACCGGGGCTCGTTCAAATATTCTCAGGCCTTTTGGTTCGTGAGTTGATCCATTTTTTGTTTGTTCGTTTGTTTGTGATGGTGTTAATACCAATCTTACAACTTAACCTCTATTTAAGGGAAGTTTGGAATTAGGGAGGAGGAGAACGTAAAAGTGGGTATTTTTCTTTTCAAGGCTCATGCTGATTTTCCCCCTAAGATATTCATTTCTGGAACATAGTTGGAATTATTCAGAGAAGCCAACTAGTTTGCAGCACTAGTTAATGAGGTCCCTGCTCAGGAAAAACTGGGTGAATTAGAGTGCTTGGGCCCTGGGCTCAAGAGGAATTGAAATTTTGCTGACTGGGCCTTTTGGTTATTTGAGCAGCCTCCAACTCACCCCTGCTGCTGAGAATAGCCTTCCTTCTTGAGCTGGGCTGCACTCTCTTGCTTATGTTATGATGAATTAAGCAAAACCAGGCAGCCCTTTGCAAGCAGGCCTTATCCTAGACCCCCACCACCACCAAAAAAAGAGGCTTATTTTAGAATCAGTATTAAGAGAATGAGAAAATTTTCCAACTTTAATAGAAATATTTAAGGGAAGTCAGTTCTGTGCCAAGCCCTCTGTAGCAGAGCATGCTTCAGATTACAGATCCCTTGAGAATCTGATGGAAACCAGAATTGACTTTGCAGAAAAGATCTTTATGTTGACTCATTTTCATACGCATTAAGTGGACTCAGAGCCTGCCTGTGGAAATGATAAACTGAAGCAAAGGGGAAAAGGTGTTCTTCGTCTCCGCCCTTAATTCCAGCGCTCGGGAGGCGGAGGCAGAGGCAGGCAGAGGCAGGCAGAGGCAGATGGATCTGTAAAGTCCTGGATGAGCTGGGGGCAATGTAGTGAAATCCTGTCTAAAATTTATCCTGTTGGATTCTGGGTGCTGTACAGATGCCCGTGTCAAGAACTGCAAGCAAGATCCATTCAATATTTTAAGGACTGAAATGCCAGAAAGCACCACGGGGTGAGGACAGCGCCTGGTCTGCCTCGACGTTGCTTATGCTGTGCTCTGGATTAGGAGCGTGGACACGCTCACAGCTCAGCTCACAAACCTGGCTTCCAGGACTTGTGGGCATCCTCTCCTACCTATCAGATACCTCTTAAAAACTACAGTTAACCTCCAGCCTTTTATCTGCTTTAGTAATTGCAGGGATGGAAAGGGCAGGTGCGATCACAGCACCCAGCTGGAAGGCAGCACCGAGTTTCACGGCTTTTCGCAGAAGGAACAGCCCTTTGGCTCATTTCTGATGTATCATTATCTTTTCTACCTCGGTCCAATACCACCTCCTTTGGACAAATAATAAAACAAGCAACAGCCATCCAACGAGTGACTAGGTCTGATTTTTCCCCCCCACAGGGAATCAGCTTCAGACTTGCACCCCAACTCTTGTGCCTCAAGACCACACGAGGCCCTTACATTTTAAGAATGTTATGTGTAATGAGCGTTTTGCCTGAGTGTATGTATGTATGTACGCCACATACACATCTCATGCCCTCGGGGGTCCCAAGTGGGGTTTCCTGGAACTATTTTTATGAATGTTTTTAACCTAACGTATGTGCTGGTCCTCTGCAAGAGCAACACGTGCTCCCAAAGGCCAAGCCAGCTTTCCAGACCCCGACGCTAACACCTTTAAATACAACATGTCCGTGTCTCCTCTGGGCGAGCTGTAAAATGGGGGAGCCTGTCTGCAGAGGCCTGTTGTGCTTCCCCACTTGTGGGTGTCCTCACTCTCTGGGTATCTCACCCTTTCATTCTCTTGGCGAACCCTTTCACAGCACGCTGCATCCCGAAGGCTATTGTTTTCTCAAGGCTCTTTGCATTTTAAATCACAATGGAAGGCTTTTTCCCCCTTTGCTAGAGATGCTCCGCTTCCAGGGAAGGCACAGAGGCCATAGTTTGGGACAGAGACTCTTCCTTCTCAACACTCCAGCAAGGAGACCACTGTTTCCTGTTTCCACCAATGGGCAGCATGAGCCCTGCCCCTAGAGGTTCCTTCTGTCTCTTCAGGTGATCACACTGAATGCGGCTGGGTGGGGCTGAGCTGGGAAAATTCCCGCTTTCCTTGTGTGCGTACCATGCTGGTTCTCAAACTGTGGTCTTTGGGGCCCAGTGACCATTTTTTTAAACATGCTCTCCAGAACTGAGAACTATCGGCTGGAGGTGCAGATGTCCTCCAAGCCGTGATGCTGGCCCCTGCAAGCTGAGCATCACATTGAGGCGGTCTGTCCTGGTGTCCTGGTTCTCCCCGAGGTTCCTCAACCCCAAAGAACCAGAGTTAGTTGCCAGCTTCTCAACCGTCTTGAGCTCCAGTGATTGACTGGGACTGGAGATTTCAATATCTCATATTTCACACTGAAAAAAAGAAAAAGTAAAACAAACAAACAAAAACCCTGTTTAAGTCCGTGCCTCAGGCTCCACACCCTTTTCTCTTGTCTCCCCACCCTTCCTGCTTCCTTCTCACTTGTGTTGAGTTTTGTTTTGCCTGAGCAATCATCTCACCTCTTCCCAGGGGTATTTATTCTGCCCTGTTGGAGGCTATTCTGATGCTTGTGTTTTGATGCCAATTACTGGCCCTCAAGTGCTGGTTACAGCCTCGATATGCCTAGCCTTGTTGTGTTAACATGCCTAAGACATCATACCTGATTGGTTGATTTAAAGGCCTAAAACCTGGGCGGGGCAGAATGGGGTAGGTGTGGCTAAGGTTCTCTTGACTTTGGGAACAGGAGAATCGTGGGAAGTGGAACATGGAGAAGAACCGTGGAGAAGCATGGGGAAGGAACCGCATGGGATGAGAAGAAGGATTCCGAGGATGGAGAAAACATCAAGATGAAAAATATAAGCAAGTATTTATAAGATTATGGATGGAAGGTAGCCCAGATAAGAAGGGTTAAGGTGGATGGCATGGGATTTGGGCTGGGAGGTTATGAGACAGCTTAGGTTGAAATATCTGCTGAGCCCAAGGTGAACAAGGCAATTATAAAATCTAACAGGTGTCTGTGTTTTATTTGATTGTGATAGTGGTTTAAATAATACCACCACAATAACTATAGGGCAAAAAATAAACAATATATAGCCCAACACCCATTTTATTTACTCCAGCACCGCCCAGTTACTGTCTCAGCAAACCTAGCTTCTCTCTGTTTCTGGCTAATTCCGCTCCGCCGTGATCCCGTCTGTCCCTCAGCCTAGCATCACCTTCAACTCTGGGGTCAACTCATTCTTCCCAACTCATTCTTCCTTCCAACTTCTTGTCTTGACTGCAGCTATTCTGGTACCCTTCCCTCCCTGCTCCTTTTCTCTTTCCTGTCTCTCTCCATCTTCTTCCCTCTACGGCATTCAAAATCTCATCCACAGCGTACACTTCCATCCTGCTGCTTCCCACCTGCTGGACCTAGATCTTCTTCATGCCTTTCTTCCCTTCCAAATGCATTTTCCCACCTTATTAGGGGGTGGGGGAGGGTGGGGAGCAGTTAACTGAGCCTCAGACTGTCTCAGCGCTGGGGAGGGAACGCACAGCTGTGTCACACATGCACACAAGCGGAGAGGCCAGAGGAGGATGGCATCAAGCACCCTGCTTTTAGTTTCCAGCCCCTGACCATCTCTCCAACTCCAATAGACCTTTAGCAAGCTCACAGAAACTAGGTATTTTCGGGAAGCTAAATGGAGTGGCACAGTGGGGTTAGGGCATGGAGAAGGCTGGCTCTGGGGTTGCTTTGAGGCGGTAGGATGGGGTGGGGACAGAGAGGCTGAAGGTTGGCCCACTGGTCTGTTATTTTGACACCAAGCTTCTGGGCCTGCAGACAGAACCACCCTGCTCCACGAGTCTAGTCCAAGGGTGTAGGGACTCCATGCTAAAGGGAGAAGCCTCAGGACCCCTGCTTAGAGGATGGCTAGTACCTCAGAGTCCTATGCAGACTTCCTTCTCACCAGCCAGGCTGAGCACCTCTGGGCTTCTTATGTCTCCTTGTTTTCTCGTGTTCATTCTCACTTCTCCTCAGCCACTTAACAAATACTTTTAACCACTCTGGTCTTTCCTACCACATAGGGGTGGGGATATGGTAGGTGGGGCATGACAAACAAAGTGGTTTGGGAACTGAGAAAAGAGAAAAGATGGCCACTGTGATTCTGGATTATTTGGGGCGCCAGTGTTCGCAGCCGGCTTCAACAAGTTATGAAAATTCTCACGTGGGTTCTGAGCATGTGACCTTCATCCACACAAGAATAACACAAGCAAGCAGACACACCCATGTAGATGCAGGAGGCACACAGAGCACCAAAAAGACAGGGCCAGAAAGGAAAGTATAGTTAAAACGCTAAATATACAGGTCAAAGAGAGGGCATTGAGAGCTGCAGAAGAAAACTCACGACCAGCTGGGAAATCCAACCTCGTGGATGGACTTTCCATTGGTAGAC